TCATGCAAGAATATTTGTTGTCATAACATTCTGCACATTATCTACTTTCATGTTCAATACTTGTTTGTATGTTTGAACTGCCATGCTTACACCCACTTCACATATTCAGTGAAAACTATCAGTTGTATTTTTGCTGCTAAAATCTTCCATGATATGATTTGCAAGGACAAATGTTCCTGAAGGTCACTGTGGAGCCAAGTGAAATTGTACCGATGCAAACATTTGTCTCTTGTAAAATCAAATCTGTTTACAGTATATTTTTAAATTGACTCATATCAGTTGTATCAGGAGCATCTAAATGGATTACATTTCATCATCATTATCCGCTAACATCACCCACGACTTTCACACAATGAGTACATGTATGGTGGAAATCATATTTGTTCATTTAGAAGCATACATGTATGTACATTACATATGTGTATGGGAAAAATAATTCATATTATGATGAATCATATAGCACATACAATTTCTGCTTTGAATAGAGCAAATAGGGTAATCAGCAGAGGTGTAAGTGAAGCATTGATGAATTGTGTCAATACACTCATAAATAAACCTGTTTATCCAATATACTTGGTGGTTATATCATATAGATGTACGCAAATTCCCATTAAAGTTGTAATATAACAGTACAATTAAGTATATTCTGAAAAAAAACCATTGGCATTTAATAAAGAATATACCAGTAGTAGTCTGATGATAAAACTTAAAACTTGCATTTCTTGATTTGCTATATGTTTGATTGTTATCATTATTTTAGTTATCAATTCTAATTGTGGTGAAAATTTTATTTCATTCTTCTCATTAACTGTTGCATTTTACTCATTATTGTCTTGACTGGGCAATCACTCGTCATTCCATGTGGGTTGCGTAAGTTGTCATTACCATCATCAAGTATACGGGTGGCTATGTGGTGTAATTATAGCCTGCATCTCAAAGTCTTATCTTCAGCCATTCTTATTACTCATTGCTAACCTGCTGTGGTAAACGGTTTGTTTTGATTTTTACAGTATTAAATTGCATTGTCATTTTAGGAATTTTTTAAGCATTGTATTGCCTTAAATTTGGCTGGGTGGTTGCAAGAAACTTTTCCATATGCATTAAAAAAGACAAAGAAAACTACAAAATCTGAAAGTTTTAAATTCAGTTTTTTAACCAGAAAATAATAATAGTGGGACTTAAAGTAAGACTCGCATAACAATGTAATTTATTTAGAACATCAGAAAATGTTGTTGTGATTGAGGTATCGAACAGACAGCAAATACAAACTTATCTCGATTTTGATGTTTCCATTAAGATAACAAGTTTCAGGCTGATTTTTAATTTATTTTTGATCAGAAATTGGTGAAATCAAGCCCATTTCATAAATCATAACAAACAACCACTTTTATGATATTCAATTTAGTTTTCTGAATTCCTTTAATATGACATGTGTCAAATGTCTTCTTCATCATCTATCAGCTCATTTATAAAACTTACTTAACAAGCTGTATCTCATTTATAAAAACAAAAAATTAAATCTATGAATGTGAGGGCGCTGTTGTTCCTCTCTTCTTTTTAATATCTTGAAAAAAACTAATCTCTAACCTCTGCATGAAATAATCTTTATATTCTTGTACTCTTTATTTTTCTTTTGTAGGCTCGATTACGAATGAGGGTACTGGTGCATGCTTTTCTGCCTTAAATGTAGTATACTCACACAAACTGGTAGTAAATTACTATTAGACAGGTTTTGTGTTTTCTAGTTGCTACTCTACTCTACTGTCCGTATATCAAATTTAGTATTGAAAACCAGTCGCAACAACCAGACTGTCTGCTCTTGTATTTCACAAGTTCCTACACTAAGGCGAGGGAATACAAATTCTGTTATTTGTTTTTTTCACCTTGGATGTATTTTTACGGTAAAAATGCAAATTATAAGTGTCAGTTTCTGGGTCATCGCTAATGTTGAGCATAATTTTACAATGATGATAATTCAAAACCAAAAAGTCATTCTTTATTTTGTTTTGGATTCCCCATCTCTCCCAATTAGGCCATGTCTAAAAGAAATCTAAAAAACTGCCTCGCCGCCAGATTCCAATGATACAAGAGACAGATTTATATATTTTCCTTGTCTAAAGCTGGTGTAGTCAAAACTTTGCGAACAACTTTTTGTTTTTTGATGACTAGAAATATTGCTACTCCTCTGCATTAAATAATCCAGCAACTGGAGAACTCAAAACATGTCTCTTCTTTTAGTAATTGCTGTATAGATCCTCTAATTATATTAACCTTCATAATTAACAAATGTTAACAATGAACTTGAGTCGTCTTTAGTTTTAAGTGTTGTACTTTTATATAATATGATCATTTGTAAAAAAAAATAAAAAAATAAAGGTGCCATATATATATATATATATATATATATATTAAAAAATTTGTTGCTGGTCCTAAGATGATAAAAAATGTTGCCCACAGACCAGGAAAAAATCATTGTTAGCCCTGAATGCTGAGATGACTTTCTGCCAACAATGAACCACTTGAATAAGAATTTCTGATTTAAGTTTTTCAACAACTTCAACTTCAGCATATTAAATTGTATTCTACAGTAAATCAATGATAGACAATTTGCATAAAAATTAAGTGTTAAGATGCTATTTCTTTGTGCATTTAGCACATTATTATGTGTATAGTATAGTTCTATGCAACAAAGTTTATACCAAAGTTTGCAGTTTATATCAGACTCAATAAGGCATGTATCACTGAAAGCCAGGGGTATACACAGCTATGTTCTGCGTTGTTTCATATGAATCAAGTCTAACATAGAAACATCAGTCAAATAGTGCTTCTTTTAATCAAAACAAAACAGATATAATATCTCCTGTTTCGAGCTTCACAGACAGTCAATGTCTTGAACCACAAACAAGCGAACTTGTGGTTTCCAAACTGATCAACCAGTTTATGTCCGAGTCGCTCATATTATATTAAAGGCCTGGGCGACAGTCGACGCACCAAGTCCTAATTGATATGGGACTCATAGCGGCGTATACAACGCGTATAAAATACATTGTTTATTTACATGAAATTTGAAACACATGCTGCACGGTGACCACCACGCTTTAATATAATAGGTCATGAGCTGTATTTTTTGCTAATTTGATTTTTAATTTTATTTGACCATGGAATATGTGATCCAAAATGATCATTGTTGTACCAAATATAATAATAATGACATGGAAACTAATTTTCTTTTTTTCTTTCTTGACTCAGTATTGCTGTTATATGGAAAAAAATAAACAAATTATCGAAACATGCAGCTCATTTTTCTTTAATAATAGGTTTTTACGGGCCGAGATATTCACCCCCAAATGTAGGGTTAGAAAGTCTGGATTAAAACTTTGTCAATTGCAATGATGGCTTCATAGAAGCCACTAACTGTGAAAGATAATCATAAATGACATTTACTTCATGGTAGTCTACCTTGCTTGATCTTGATAGGCATTGGAGGAAACAAAACGATTGAAGGCATTGGTTGACAAACAGTTGGCATCATCTCTACTGTGTGTTAAGTTGGACTCTGCTCGCGCACTCCCAGTAAGTCTACATCTGTGTATTATCATTTATTTGATTCAGCATGTTAGACAAACAAACAAAAATTCAAGAATTTTTTGTGACTATACATTCATGAGTTGATGCCCTTACTATCAAAATTGAGTCATGATTACATCTAAGAACATGGCATCACATTCCAGTAATTTAAGTAATATTCACTGCTACAACAAATTTTATCATAGATTTGAATAGGGGAGATACTTGTCTAAAATTATTTGCAATGTATTCTGCTGCATCCCATGCTACTATTGGGCCACAATCTCCCAAGCTTTATGCCCAAATATGGTTGCTAATATGCATAACAATGGTGGATTATGATTATGTCATAATGTAAATTACAATAGACCACCACCCTGATTAAGAGCTGAAGGACAACAGTTGGTTCATGCATATCCCAAAATGACCTTTGAACTCTAAATTCAACTTTGGTCACTTTTTCTAAAATAATCATAATTTTTTCCATATTTTTTCAAACATTGTGATCAGGAACTGTAACCAGTTGAAAATTATGTCCATTTGTTTCAAAATTGATAAAGAATTTATAAAAAAAAATACATAAAATTAAAGCAATGAGCAAATTTAAATAATTTCTGTTGCCTCACAAATGGTATACAACTAAACTGATTTGATGTGCTGTAATAATTACTAAAACATATTGTAATTCTAACTTTGTGGTAATTTAGAGTTTGAATGCCTAGCATAGCAAAAATACAAATTGTGGTAGCAAAGTGAGTGGCTTTAAATTGTAGAACCTTACAGAGACTATGGAGAATTGCAGTATGGAGGCAAGGAAATGAGATATAAAAAAATAATATATTAATAAAACTAACCAGAAATAAATTGCGAGTGCACCAAGCTTTGTTCTTTGCTGTGTGTTATTGTAATGTAGAGCTTTATCCCGCATGTTATGTCCTAGTCCCTGCATTTAAATGTGCTAACCGTACGGCTTGCATGTTATCCCTGCAAACATTTTCATATGTCAATTACATGTCCTGTTTTTTTTTCTCCTATTTTCATCTCTAGGCTCGAAAGAAGGTAACCTTCTGAGTGACTGACTTGTCTGTCATGTCCAGTACTCTCCCATTGATGTCTTTTACATGTATTGCTTTTTGCTGTGTTTATGTTTGCTTTAATTGGCACCTAACTTCTATTTTTTCTACTGATACTGTCTTCTTGTTTTTCAGAAATTAGAGTTGTTCAATCCTCTTATGTTTTTTTTTAATCAAGCTAACATTATTTATTCTAAAAAAAAATCAATAAATTGTAGTTTGTTTCTGAGTTGTTGATAAATTACCCATAATTCCTGAATCATTCTTTGCATGTCATGCAGGGCTGCAAATTAGCAGTAGCCTAGGGATACCATTTTTCAAAATTAGTAGCACACTTGGACTACCGATAATTTACAAAAAAAAATAATACCTTGTTTTTTAAATAAAGCAATTAGTCTTTGAAACTATTCACACTTTTCTGCTTGGCTCTTTAAGTACTTT